CACTCAGCACAGCATTTTCACATTGGTACTACCTACACTGGTACAGACAGTTTTAGTATACAAATATGTGTAAATATGATTTACTGAACCAGCATTTCACGTAGAATGCTCGATGGAAGAAAACTTGAAAAATCATAATTTTTCTTTCTGCGTGTTCCTTTAGTCAATGGCTTCTCTAGTGTCTTACTAATTTTGAGGCTTCAATTTATAATTAAAGGTGCGGTAACGTTATCATTTTGGTTTCGTTTACCACTTGAAAGTAATTTTGTCACATCTTTTCTGATTGTATGACAATTGACAAGTGACATTAATATTTTATAACCCACATATATACTACATTACATCATGCTGAATTTTTAGCGCCTGTATAGTATGCATGTAAAAATAAATATGTATTGCTTTGTGACTTTTATCAGCTGTATTTGGCTGTTTATTCCAGACCAAAGTTTTCCCCTTAACCTTACAAAATGACTTAAACATTCGTTTTTTTCGAATTCTCGTCGGTCAAACCTAGGTTGTTCTTCGATCGTTTGTACATCAGTCTAACCCATAGATATTCACCACTTAGTCACTTTCCATATCATCCAACTATCCCGAAGTGACGTCATTGAATTAAGAAATTAGACTTGGGAAGAGGGTTAAATGAGTGAGTGAGGTGTGCTCATCATCTTCACTTGCAGCTGAGAGCTAAGCTGAATACACGCTTCCGGAAAGTACCTTGGCTATAGAGCCTCGTTTTCGTCATTGACACGTTATACGTTAGAATAGTGAGATTAAGCAAACGACGTTTTTCTCAACATGCACGTCACCCGAATATTGGTACGACTAATTTTGGCGGCATTTTGCCTCATAGCGCTCGTGTAAGGAAGCAAAAAACTTTAAAAATCTTATGTTTTGTCGTATGTGTTGAAGATTACCACAAACTGACACAAACACAGTTTTTAATCCAACCCTCCTCGGCAATCTCACATTCGTGTTGACAAAAGCGTCGCTTGCTTAAGGTACGTTTACACGCTGCGATTTGTCGGGTCGATTTTGCTCGCTGTATGTAAATAACCTGTCGTGAGTACTCGCGTCAGCACGTTGCGATTCACAAAATCGGGAGAAAAATCTGGAACACAGATTTAACACTAACACAGATTTTTCTCACGATTCAACGATTTTTCTTCCGTTGTAAAGTTGATGAAAACTTTTCGCACGCAGAAAACTATAATATGAACAGACGAGAGAGCGGACAGCTTCAATTGAACGTTTAAATCGCTAAATGTCGAAGAAGGGGCATCGATTATTTACCAAAGTCGTGTAAACGTAGCTTTAAGCTCCTTAATGTCACATATACGAAAACGAGGCTCTGTAGCCAAAGTGACGTACTTTCCGGAAGGCTGTATTGGAAGGACGCCATTTTAACGGCGCGTCTGGTAGCCACCTTAGACCAGTGAGCTCCATGTCTGGAGCAAGAACTTCAGTCATTCGGCCTATGAGAAAAGTGAAGTCAAGATGGCGGCCATTGACGTCCAATAGCTCTGAAGCATCTTCGTTCCCAGGGCTTCTCGGCTGCCTGACTTATGGCAACGTCAGGCAGCCGAAAAGCCCTGGGAACGAGGATGCTCTGAAGGTCGTAAACAGCTTTTATACCATTTTTCCCACCTAATTCCAGTGTTTTCTAGCGGACCGTATCGCTAACCAAGTTATCAGTCCATAAAACCATAGTGTCGTTCTTTAAATCCATGTCAAAATACGAAATTTCGGCACACTAGTTGCCAAGATGGCGGAATTGAAGGAGCTATTGAACGTCGGTTCTAGTCCCTTTCTATTGTAAATGTCTGCGCGGTTAACACGAAGCTGGCTTCACTTTTTGAACTCGAGTTCTCGCTCCAGTATATATAGTCACTGCCTTAGTAGTAAGTCTGATCACGGAGCACAGCTATGGAAGGGTGAGTTTGGAGCTTATCCCAACCCAACCTGCGATCAGGCCTATAAATAAATAAATAGGCCTGATACAAATATTAACAAAAGTCCATGTTTTTACAACCGTATTTCGGTTGTAAATCTGATTGGCTTATGAGACAAAAGATTTTTTAATCTGTCATTTGATTGGTTGGTGCTAATTACATTATATACTGTCGTTGATATATTTATAGTGATCACAACTATAATTAGATTGTTGTTGTCGCTGTGTGAAATTTAAATTTCTCCTGCGACATTTTGAGTGGATACTAAGTATAAACTTTGCTGTGGGTGGAAAGCGATCGGATTAAGGATTGTGTCAGGCTATTATTTGTAAAATAGAGCCTGATCGCAGGTAGGCATGTCCCGATTATGCTCATAAAATCCCAAAAAGTTGCTCTATAAAACCAACAAGTTGCTCTTTAAAATGCATGAAAGTTGCTCAAAAGTTGCCCGAAATTAAAAAAGTTGCTACTAAAATTGAAAAACCTGTAAAGTTTGAACTTTAGTAAAAAGTTGCTCAAAAATTGCTCAAAAAAGCTCGAACAGAAAAAAGTTGCTGCAAGCGCAAAAAGTTGCTCAAAAGTGGCCGAGCACAATCGGGACATGCCTAACCGCAGGTTAATCCCAACCCACCCTGTCAACATGCCCTGCATGTGCATGTTGGACGAGACCGGAAGACCACCGACATTCGATGAAGCATCGACTCTTTTCACTTAAATGTCATGAGTCCGTAGTGAGATTGAACCAACGACCTCAGAGGTGAAAGGCGCTTGCTCAGTCGATTGCGCCACCAGTATTATAATAGTTCATGAGTAGAATTCGTTGAATGTGAATTGTGAAATTGAGAATGTTAATATTAACCTAACGCTTAATTTTCTTTCAGCCACAGGCCGAGATGACGCAAAGCGATCGCATGTTGTGGAACGTATGAATCAAGGCGAAGACGTTGACATTGATCTAAACGATCCTGCTGTTGGCAATGCTGCGGTTAGAATCCAATCCCAGTTCCGTGGATATAAAGCAAGGAGAGAAGTCGAAGAAATCAGGCAAGAACGCGAAAATGATCCTGATATCGACTTAAACGACCCTGAAGTACAGAAGGCCGCTGTTGCGATTCAGGCTGGGTTCCGAGGGATTAAGGCAAGAGCAGAACGAAATCGAACGGAGCAGAATGAAGTGTCAGCAGGCGATGATCTGGATTTGAATGACCCTGAACTGAGTAATGCGGCCGTGAAAATCCAAGCAAACTTCAGAGGCTACAAAAGCCGTCAAGAAACGGACCAAATGCGAAATGCTGTGGACGGAGATTTCAACAGGATTGAGTTGAATGACCCGGATGTTGAAAACGCTGCGAAAAACATCCAAGCTGGTTATCGTGAGCACAAAGCCCGTACGGAAGTAAATCAGATCCACGAAAACCAAACCGACGACATCGATGTAAACGATGTCGAAATGCAGAATGCTGCTACTCTTATTCAAGCTGGATTTCGCGGTCATAAGTCAAGACAAGAGGTCGCTAAGCTCCGTGAGATGAAAGATGACGGTGTTGATATTGATTTGAACGATCCCGATGTCCAAGAAGCAGCTAGTATTATTCAAGCGGGATATCGAGGACACAAGGAACGTACGGATGCTGCAAGTACAAGCGAGGTAGACCTGAATGATCCTGAGGTAGAAAACGCGGCAAAGATCATTCAAGCTGGATATCGTGGGCATAAAGTTCGTAAAGATTTGAGAGAAGGAAATGATGAAGAGGTGCCAGAGGGTATCAATTTGGATGATCCGCAAGTTCAAGATGCTGCTGTCGCCATTCAAGCTGGTTACCGTGGCTACAAAACGAGAAAGGAATTAGCGAGTCAACAACAAAAGGTAAAAACAACCCTATATAACATTATTTGATAGTTTGTGTGGTTAGGAAGTGGCTCTTTGCCTTTCACTATATACTGCGACCGGGGGGTCCATTTCCTGCAATATATTCGTTTCAGTGGCACAGAAATTCGTTTCAGAGTACTTCCAGTTGGACCATGTATATCATTCTGCACTCCTATTCCCCCGTATATATTGACACTGCACAAAGAAGAGATTCGGATTCTACTGCACCTCTCGAATGAACGTTTTCGAATGGTGGAAGTATCCATTAATATAAAATAAAGTTAGATTAGTTTTACAGAATAGTTTAATGTTCAGGCCGGAAATATCTGATTTCAGTCCTCGATCATGTAATGTAAGTTCCTGGAACTTGAAAGACGTGGCAAATTGTTCATGGACTTCCTTTGCCTCCACTTGATGCGCAGTAATTCATCAAACCTTTGTTCTATATAATTTATACAGTAGTTTTATTATTTCAATTTATGGCTCTGTTCAAGTTTAAAAACTATAGAGTTTATGTACAGTATTGACCCAAGCAAATAAGAATATTTTGGTCCTAAGGTAAATATTATACAATTATTGAGCGAGGTCGAGCAAAATATTGTGATTTGTCAGTGGCGAGCAGTCAACGGATATGTCGTAGAAAACCATTTGAAATGTCCATTCGAGAGATCGAATAGAAAAGTTAGCTGCATTAAATTCAACGAATTCGACGTCGAAAGGCCTAAATTACTGAACATTATTAGCATGGAAACATTTGGAATCCCACTATGCAACTTCATTCTAAATGAAGAACTCATGCATCTTTGATATTCCTAAGTCAATATAGTCCATACTAAGCTTCAATGCTTAATTTAAGTAAATTATTTTGCCTAAACTTATATAATTGCTACTGAATAATACATCTTTAGCTTTTTTCAGATCTCATG